AATTAAGCTGACTGTATTCCCCACCCATGGGCGCAGGTGTGTCTACCTGCCATGGGAAGTTTCGAACGCGGAAGTTTGTAGGACTGTCATGGTTGCAGGGAGAGTGCGGCGGACTGGTTTAGCTGCTCTGTAAAACGAAATACGCAAAACAGCATCTTGTTCGGGCGCTGCGCCTACACAGGTTTTCTGGACTTTCCGACCCGAGTCGTCAGCCGTACAACGACCCAATGGCATCTCCCGGACCGGGGAGTACCAGCGGCCCGGTGCAGGGAGCGGGGCTCGGGGAGAGCCCGTCGATGAGCACTGAGAAACTGAGCTCCTCGGCTGTCAATCGCATGTTAATGGAGTTTCTGATTTACTGCGGGAGAGCCGTGTTCATCTTCTACCCCGTATACCTGACGGGTTACCTGGGCCTCAGCATTAGCTGGGTGCTGCTGTGCATGTTTGTGCTCACTTGGTGGAAGAAAAATCGCCAGTGGAAGGACGCCCGGATCGGATCGGCTATTGACTTTGTGGACAATGAAAAGCACACGATCAACACCGAGCTGAAAGGTTCCCTACAAATGGCATCTTGGGTAGGTTATGTGTAAATATGTGTACAGTAAGAAACTGTCGCTCTGCGTCTGTTTTGCTTTAGAGCACTTCAGCAGCCTGGCAGCAAAGCCTTTCAGGTCAGCAGCTCTCCAGTCATGGTAGAAAAAGCTACCATGTCATTTATTTGTTTAAAACTGTAGGAAATAGTATCGTTCTCCCTTGCACTGTTTTGCATAACAAGACACACTCAGGCTGGTCCATTTTTTATTGCACCACACTCACCCAAAAGAGTGACTCATGGCACGCAACAAGGGTTAGGACAGACAATGAAAGAGGTTTCTTCTAATGTTACAGGAGTTCAGCACGCACAGTGGCTGTGAAACCAGGTCAGATTTTACTGATGGCTGTAGTTCGTGTCTTACAGGCTTATCTGTTCGTGTGTCCATGATCATGAAACTTGCTGATGACAGAGCCCCTGATGACAATTAAATCAAAGTCTCAGTTCATGCAAGACATATTTTAAATACAGCACACCCGAATTCTCCTTTTAAAGCAGTTGGATGAGTTCATTTTAAATTAATTATATTTGCATGACTAATTCTATAATTGTATTGTATAATTAATAAGTAATTCATCTTCTGCACTCTTCATGTCAGCATGTTGTGCAGACTGTTTCAACGGAGATTATGTTTACAAAACCACTTCTAACTTTAATCTATTTTTTCCTAAAGGTGAATTTCACTGATGTGGAGAAGGCACAGTGGCTTAACAAGGTATAGTACTGAAGTTCACTTACTCCACCTCATCTGAGCTTTATGAGGTATGACACCAAGTATGTGTCCCATCAACACTCTGGGGGGGTTCATTGATAAATTAGCTGAAAGCAGACTGAATGAGTGACGATCTTTCATGTAATTACTGTTAAAAAATCGTATTAATTGGCTGTGACTTTGAAATGATAAACAAAAGTTTAATACTATACGCCTTTTCGAGTTCACCTAATTTAAAAGTATACTGTAAGTAAGATTCCATTTACTGTTTGATCAAGGTGTTTCCACATGGTGTTTTTTGTTATGTGTTCAGGTGTTGGAGCAGGCGTGGCCCTTCTTTGGGATGTACATGGAGAAGTTATTAAGAGAAAACATCCAGAAGTCTGTCAGGACCTGCAATACTGCACTCAAAGCATTTACTTTTACCAAGATCCATTTTGGACACGTAGTGAGTTGCTGTGATTTATGCACCATTCCTTTTTGTACTGCTTCAAGTCCACTTTAATATGCAATGAGTTTTGTGACTGAGTGAGTTTCTTTAAATGCTTCTTTATTTTCAGCCTCTCAAGATCACTGGAATAAGAGCGTACACACATGAAGTGGAACGTAGGGAAGTGATTCTGGACATGAACTTAAGGTCGGTCAAATACATTTTTAAAATGTAAATTCCAAGTAGTCTGCATGTTGTTTTCTCTTGCTATCATTTATGTCTGACCAGCTCAGTTCACTCTGCAGTTATGCTGGTGATGTGGACATCGATGCTCAGGTGAACTCAGCAATCACAGCTGGTGTGAAAGGACTTAAAGTGAGCATCTCATTTTTCTGTCTTCTCTCTTTCTATCTGCGTCATGTTCTTACTGTTCTTCTAAAACTTTCTTTAAATCTTCCAGCTCCATGGGATGATGAGAGTTGTTTTAGAGCCTCTTATTGGTCAAGCACCTCTGGTGGGAGGAGTCACTTTTTTCTTCATTCGCCGCCCTGTAAGTGGCCATAGATTTTAATCCGTTATGTGATTAACATTGCTTAAATCTCCAATTGATCTCCAATTGATTTTTTTTCAGACACTGGAAATAAACTGGACTGGCATGACAAATGTTCTGGACAGCCCTGCTTTTGGGTAAGAAAATCCCAGAGGTGCTTTTAAATTGAATCATTCTCTTGTTGTCCCTTTAGGGTCATCCAGACTTTTTGATATTTATTTGTCTCACTCCATCTTTTGCCTTACAGTTCACTGTCAGAGGAGACTATCGTAGACATCATCGCTTCTCTCATGGTGTTGCCCAACCGCATGTGTATTCCCCTCATAGACCAGGTCAAAATGGACCAAATGAGGTTTCCACTTCCTCGTGTAAGTACCATCACATTTCCAATTCACACATTTAGCTTCACCTTATAACCAGCAGCTACTTGGATTTTTTGAGTAAGCACAGTGAATTTTAAGACAACATACATTGTATATGTATACTTTTTGCTCTTTTAACCTGTTTTTACTTGTTAATTATACAAAGATTCTATCATTAATATGAATCATGTGCTTTTTCCTCCTAGGGGGTGGTGAGGGTCCACTTGCTGGAGGCAAGAGATCTGGTGGCTAAGGATACATACATGATGGGTTTAGTGAAAGGCAAATCAGACCCCTATGCCACACTCAGAGTGGGCAACACAAATTTCAAAAGCAAGACCATCAAAGAGAATTTGCACCCAAAATGGAATGAAGTGTATGAGGTAGGCTAACACAAACACACTTCAGTGACACGCACTTTGATTTCAGTAATGGGATTACTATTTGATTCTGCTGTTTTTGTCCCTCTTTTAATTCTCAGACAAAATTGATTTCAGGTCGAATCAGCTAGTTTTTAGAACGATTTCTGCACAACCGTCTCTGATCTGCCTAAAACATTTTGAACTTATTAATGAAAGCTGTGAAAGTTTTGCTTCACACATCAAATCATTTTCAACAGTATTTTTTTCAAAATTGATTTTAAAGCATTTTTTAACTGCAGATATTTATCAAAAGTATTTTCTCTTCAGTTTGTGGTAAGGACCCGACACACACAAAGGTCTTTGCTGTGCTGATGTTTTATTATATATGAAGGCACGCTTGCATCAGGAGGCCGCTCCTTCCTCAGCTCCTCCACTGCACACTCACATCTCCACCATCCCCAGATATATAGACAGAGCGACAGTCGTCAGTCACAGCACGCACCTGTCTCCTCTGCCACACCTACACAGGACAGACAAGATAACATTTTAGGCTTTTATCTTTAACAGTCTTTGAGATATATTCATGTTCAAACATAGCCTCAGATTGTACACAAAAAGGCCTGACAGTGGCTCAACAGACCATTTTCCCAAAAATATATATTGAAAAGTATCTGCTATGCAAAGCTAAAATTTTTCAAGAATCATTGTATATGTTCAAATTTGTACGTAACTCGGAGATGGTTGAGCAGATGGCCTGCGCAGATTTGATGCGATCATCCTAACACAGACGTTTTTCTTACACTGTAATCTCGTCTGCATCATGCTATTGAAGACAGAGATGCTTGTTTTTGCTTGTAAAAAACATTAACTCATTATTTGAAGACTACAATTTATTAGTATCTAATATCCCATTTTCTATAAGTAATCTACTAAAAACCTTACCCATAATATTCTAAGAAGTCAGACTCATTAAACTTGAAAGACATTTTGAGATATCTTTGTTTTTTTTATGCAGTTTGTTGTCCATGAAGCGCCGGGCCAAGAGCTGGAATTAGAGCTCTATGATGAGGACACAGACAAAGATGATTTTCTTGGAAGGTATTTAGCATACTTCTGCCATTTTGTGTTACCTATGATTTCTTTGGTTCTTAGCCCTCTGCTGATATCAGTAAAAGGCTGATAGATTGTTGTTGTCATCCCGCCAGCCGGGCAAAGGGGACATTGCCTCAGATTGTACTGGTGCAGAGCCACGTCTGCCTCAGTGCATTTTAAGAACCAGGCAACAGTTTGAAACTGTTGAGGTCTTTTTTATGGTCAGAAAATCGTATTGGACAGAATCTGTGGATAGCATCAATCATCTTGTATTAGTCCTTCCCAGAGTCATTGACATCAGTGGATTTGTAGCTATGAAAGTGATATAAACACGCAGTTCTGACGCATTATTGACATTGTTTTTATTTTACATCTATTTAGATATAACCTCGATTTGGGAGAAGTGAAGAAGGGAAAACAAATGGATCAGGTGCGCTCTTTTATCCTGAATAAGCTCAGTAATCTCTATAACACAACATGTCTTATCAAATGCTCTTGTATGTGTTACTATTTTCTATAGTTTTGTATTTACATTAAAGCTTTTGAAACATCCTCTTATTCTCCCAGTGGTTTGCTCTGGAGGATATACAGCACGGTGAAGTTCATCTTAAGCTCCAGTGGTTTTCCCTTCAGACTGACACCAGCCTGATGAAGGAGGTACAGCAGCCCAGTGTTTCTTCAGTCTCGCGTTCATACATTTTACTTTGAACTAAAAGCTGCGGCGGGATGTGCACTGCGCTCAGCTGCTCCATAAATCCCATTATTTTTCCCTCTCCAACACTTTCTTCCAGTCCACCGACAACCTTGCGTGTGCTATGCTTGCAGTGTATCTGGACAATGCCACTGATCTACCAGTAAGTATCTTCTAATGGGAAATATTGCTGTTGTTGTAAGGCATTGATTCAAGTGTGCTCAGCCATATTCTTCCACTTCTGTATAGAAAGACGGCCGTGAGGCTGCAGACCGTCATAAACATGGGAAGAACCCCAAAGAAGAACGGGTAAGACGAGAGCGTCGTTGCATAACTAATGCCAGTTAATAAAATTGGCGTCATTTCTGCATTTTCAATATTTCATTTTGCTTGTTCAAAAAAAAAAACCAACACATTACATAATTTTTTTCCTTCTTAATGATAAATCGAGAAGATGTTTGCCTCAAAGTCTGTCGTTCACATACGCAGATGGTTGTTTTCTTTGACTGTCCAATAAAACTCTCGGCTTCTGTTTCATTTTAACACTGTGCAGTTGATAGCGCTTTCGTATCTTGATGTCTCGGTCAGATTAGCTTTCTCTTGTACTTCTAGGTGTGGTTGTGTCTGAAAGCTGGTTCTTCCAGTTTGTCTGGTGCATGCCTGTCATTTTGTATGGGTGTGTTATTGTCAGCTAGTTTTCATATCACGTGAGGCTTTTCCAGGTTAAGTTTCTCACACTCGCACAACTCGTCAGGACTGTGCTGAGAAAAACTCAAAACTACTACAATTTTAAACTAGTTGTAGAATGATGTTTCTAAGGTAACAATATTCACATTTTTCTTAGACTTTATGAATAAATATGAATCCCATCCATCTGATATTTTGGGCAATTATAGGAAACTGTGGGAATTATTTAAGAAAATGTTTTTACTCAGAGTGTTTATGCTTCCACTTTGTGCAAGGTGCCTCTGACTGTCCTCTGCTGGTCATAGGATGAAAAAGCAGTCAAAAGTGTGTGAAAAGTAAAGTGTGAGAGAACACTGAGTGTCTTAAGTTAAGGTTTCATTATCCTGAAATGCAAAAAAGGAGGGTTGGCCATTGTTGTGTGTGTGTGTCTGTGTCTGTGTCTACGTGTGTCCCCGTGCCTCTAATGAATCTTACACTTCTTTTTCCCACACGTCCCAGTTTCTGTGGTGTGTTTGCATTTAATACTGGGTTGAATTCATAAGATTCCAGTCTGCTTGTTGACAAACACCCAACGTTTGTAGAACCCACATAGAATTTCAATGACAGAAGGCAGACTGCTGCTGAGTGTCACATACTGCAGCCTGCCTGTCAGGTATGCAGTGATCCATGAGATAAACGCTGTGTTTAGTGAGATTTCCTGTGGCTTCTGTCTCAGTAGACACTGCTCATGTTAAATACAGGACATAGATCGACCGGTAAATTGAGAGCTTTGCTTTTACAGACAGCTCTCTCTTCACCACAACAGCATCCGCATCACTGCAGCCGCAACACCAATCTGCCTGTCGATCTCCCGCTCCCTACTCCCATCACTCGGGAACAAGACCCTGAGATACTTAAACTCCACTTGGGGCAGGATTTTTTTGTTTTCTTTTTTCACAGTTTACACAATTACTTCGTTATTCTTAATATATATATATATATATATGTTCTCCTTTATAGACATTTTTTGTTCACTGTGGTTTTGCAAATGGATGGCATGTGTAAAAAGGATGAAATCAAAGGTAAACACTGACTTAAGCTCACAAGCACAGGTTTGGCCACAGCTGAAGAGTTCATACCGTATGTCTGTGAAGGTTCTCAGTCATCCAGGTCATCGTAGTCTAAGGAGCTTGAAAAGAAAAGCGTCTGGACTTCTTTAAGTTGCTTGAAGACGTTTCACCTCTCATCCGAGAAGCTTCTTCAGTTCTAGGGTCAAATGGTGGAGAGTCCCACTGGGTTTAAATCTGGGACTCTCCCATCTTAAATCTGGGACCTAAAGAAGTCCAGACGCCTTTCTTTTCAAATTCATACCGTAATTATGACAAAATTTCACACGAAAAGATGATGGACTGGATGTACTTTTATTAGAGGTTTACAACTGCAAGTTGGTCATTCTGGTATTAGTGTTGACATAGAAGTCAGTAATTAGAAAACTGATACTCTCACTGTCTCACTGATTTGCTTTATTTTCAGCTCACAAAGAGAGTCGCCTGCCCCAACTCCTTTGTTGAATTTTCCATTGACAAGGATGTTAAGAAAAGCAAGGTATTGCTCTCACTTAAACATGCTGATACGTCATTTTCTCCTTTAAATGTTTCTGTTCTTTATATTCTTGTTCATATGTGATGAATCCAGATGGTTAGACTTGCTGATTTGCTACCGTTTATCCACTTTACAATTTTGTTTATATACAGTAGTTATGTTTGTGAACACTTTGTGTGATAATATTTCCCCTTTGTTCATAATATAGCACTTTATTTTTTTAAACCAGAGAATGGTCTACATTGAGGAGCTTTATTATGAAACATGTTAGAAAGCATAGCGGGTATATTTCAACTAAATTCTCACACACACAAAAATCCCACTTGTGACAGAAACGTGTCTGTCTGTGGATGTCTCAACAACCAAACTTATTTGTTATTTCCGTGAGAAGAAGAACAGAGAACAGAGATTATCTGTATTTCACTGCTCCAGATCCTACGAGTCACAGTACTGTCAACAGCATATTTTAAAAGAAAATATTAGTTGTGTAAGAAGGCATTTAATAAATTCACTTTAAGCCCAACATAATTAAACCTGAATGAAGTACTACAGCATTTGGGCTTTTTTTTTTTTGCCAAAGTTCAGGTGTTAAAACACATTTTAGACATTTCTAGTTAAATCAGAACTTTAAGTTTTAGGACTGACTTAGCATGGGGAAAAAACTAAAGCCCACCAGCACCTCTAAGCATTATTTTCTCTAAAGTGGCCTAAAATTAAAAATGTTTGACTATTTTTGTTCTAGAAGCACTTTGACCTGTGATCAGTAATATATATAAAGTCTGTGTTGTAAAAATATTTCCATTGCAAACAAGTAGCACAGTAACTTTCTTAAAACTTTTTTTTTTTACTACTCGATTCACTGTTTCCCAGGTTGTGTATGCTTCCAAAGACCCGGTGTGGGAGGAGGGCTTCACCTTCTTTGTGCGTAACGTCAAAGCGCAGCAGCTCTCTATTCAGGTTTGTTTTCTCTCTCTGGCAAAAAAAGCAACAAAGCTATTTTTTTACTTTTTTTTTTTTTTAAACATTTTTTAACAGAAGTAAAGGTTTCTAATTGTTTTTACCATATTCTTCAATCATTATTTTTCCACAACTACCTTATAATTCTAAATCATATTCTGAAACTAGATTCTTTCAATCTGTCTGATCTCCCCATGAGGTTAATGTAATTTGTATTTTTCATATTTTCTTTGTTCATGTGGTTCAGGTCAAAGAGCCTGAGAAGAAGAATCCACTCGGTGTTCTCAACTTGCCCCTCAGTCGCCTCCTCAACACCTCGGACCTGACTCTAGACCAGCGCTTCCTGCTAGAGCGCTCTGGAGCAACCAGCCAGATCAAACTGAAGGCCACTCTGAGGGTGGGCATGCAAACATACACCCAAAGCAAATTATCTCTGTTGGTTTCCCCATTGTGTTTTCCACCTCTCTCATAAGTGATGGTTTTAGCCACAGTAGCATTGCTCATGTCTTCAACTCACACAGATTCTTAAATTGGAAGAGCCTCCACCCAAGCCTATCGTCAAGCCTCCTTCAGAAGTCAAACAAGCGGGGAATACCTCAGTCTCCAATCCCTCCAACGCTCCATCCTCTTCTAACGCAGTTTCCTCCAGAGAAATTCCTGTTGTCTCTACTCCGAAACAAGTGCCAACTTCACCAAATGAAGGTTATTTAGCTCAACGCCGTGGCTCCTTCCAGGCGCCTGAAAACAGGAAGGAATCATCTTCATCAGCAAACTTGCGTCGGTTCGACTCTCACAGCCTGCTGTCGGAGAACTCTATTGCTTCATCACGATTCGACCTGTCAGATGGAGCCACCTATCCCGAGTGAGACTTTGTTCTCTGCATGTTCTGTTAATGTCGACGTCTAACCTTTCTAGAAATATGGTGAACTGAGGCAGTTGCTGCATTTTTGAAAGAGTAGAAATAAAAGTGACCTTTGCATATTTGTTTCTCTTTAGGGCCATTAGGAATCATCAGGGTTCGTTTGGAGAGATTGAGCTGGTTATACGCTACGCAACCCTGAGACATAAACTTGTTGTCATTGTTAACAGGTGCAGGTATGTCCCAAAAATCTTTCCTCAATAGTATTTAATG